ACAAGATCGTATCATCCTGTGTTTCCACATGGTGATGGGACCAACCGGGGTGCCAGCACATGGCAGCCAGTCCTGGATTCTCCATGTCCAGTGGAATAAGACACAGGGAGTTTAGAGAGCACTGTGCACAGGGGCACCCATGGGAGATTCCTTACGGGGCATCCCATGGCCTTCAAGAGGGGCTGAGGGTGAATGAAAGAATCTAGTGTGTGCAGGAAGAGGTTGTGCATGTGACCATGGTAACCCCAATCCATGTTCACACCATGTGTCTCCTGCCAGGGGACGACCCTCCTCACCAACCTGTCCTCAGTGCTGAAGGATGAGACTGTCTGGGAGAAGCCCCTCTGCTTCCATCCTGAGCACTTCCTGGATGCCCAGGGCCACTTTGTGAAACATGAGGCCTTCATGCCATTCTCAGCAGGTCCTGTGGGATGCCTGTCTCCATGTCTCTTCCCAGGGTGCCTTGGAGGGTGGAACATCTATCAGGTCCTAGACTGACTGAGCCCCTTTCCCACCTACAGGCCGCCGAGCTTGCCTGGGGGAGCCCCTGGCCCGCATGGAGCTCTTCTCGGTGCCCAGTGGACAGCCCCGGCCCAGCGACCATGGCAATTTCCCAGTTCCAGTTGTCCCCTCCCCCTACCAGCTCTGTGTTGTGATGCGCCAGCAGGGACACTAATTCCAGTCCTGTTCTGTAACTAGGGCTGAGCCATGCACAATAAACCAGTCTGGTGCAGTCTTGTTTCCTGCTCCAACCTTAATCCTTGCCTCTGCTGGGTCCTCAGACAATAGTTTAAAACCAACCTTTACCACCTGCCTTACCCCTCCCCAGGGGACATCTAGACATTGGCAGGGGCCTGCAGGTTCAGCATTCAGAAACCCGAGGTAAGAGGATTACAAGCCCGAAGCTATTCAGCCCTATATAGTAAGGTCAATCTGGACTACATAGTGAGGACTTGTAACATGAAAACAAAAGAAAGGGGGGAGAGAATTGTGCTGTTTGGGAGTGAAAGCTGACCCTATATCACCCACAAAGACCTATCTATAGAGACTAGTTTTTTTAGCTTTGGAACCTGTCCTGGCACTAGTTCTTGTAGACCAGGCTGGCCTCGAACTCACAGAGATCCACCTGCCTCTGCCTCCCATGTGCTGGGATTAAAGGTGTGTGCCACCACCGCCCTGCTAGAGACTAGTTTTATGACAAACTACAGGTTAGATGTCAAGACTTCGTGTGTCTCAGATGACAGATGTTAATGGATTTCTGCTGAGAGACAGCACTGCTCCTGTCTGGGTGACAGAGGTGGCAGGGGTCCTCAAGACCTTGAGGTACCATGAGATGCTAGAAAGGCTGCTGTCCTCACAGCTCTGGCTGGTCACAGAGAGAAGGCACAGAGAGAAGGCAGCAGCAGTGAGTGGTGATGGACCGAGCCTGAGGTGTCAGACACGCTCCTGGCTGTCAGCTAACTGTCCAGACGGAAGTCAGGACGCCCAGTCACCAAGTGTGACTGAGACAGAGAACGTTGTTCGCAGAGAAGCTCATCGAACCTCACTGTCCAGAGGTTTGGGGATCCCATAGACTTGAGCAGGGTTTGGGGGAGCACCCATATGGCTGACCTCAGTCTCCACACCTCGCAAGGTTAGACTCAGACAATGTGAGGCCACTTTCCTAAATCCTGTTGCTGGTATAAATGGTGCCACGTATCCTTCAACCCCAGCTGTGTGGAGACACTGCTGTCAACATGTCCCAGGGTCTCAGGCAACGTCTCCCCACAGGCTGATGGGACTCAAGCACCTATCCTGGAATGTGCAGGACAGAAATGCCCAAGCTGAGGTCACACAACTGCCCTGGCCGTGCTCCTTGGCATGCAGGGCAAATTGAAGCATTTGTCTGTGTGTCTTTCTGGTTTTATTTTGCTTAGACATCACTAATGTTTACCAGCCTTACCACTCTAGTTCTCATGGTGTTGGAAATTGATCCCAAGGCCTTATGCGTGCTCAGCCTGCAGCTTCGGTGAGCCACACCACAGCTCATCCTCCGCATTTGCAGAGCACAGCTCAGGGGCATCAGTCAGTCCCAGTGTGCAGCCACCACCACGATTCCTCCCGAGATCGCTTCATCCTCTAAAACTGGAGCTCTGCACCCCAGGACAGTAGCTCCTCATTCTCCCCTCTGTCCAACCCTAGCACCCAGCATCCCGCCGTCTATTTCTGTGATGTGACAGAGCGCAGCCTTGCACTGGCTGTCTGTGACTGACCTAAGTCTTCAAGGCGCCCTGGTGTTCAGCAGGCATCACTCTCGCTCTTTAAGGCTGAACGAGCGTCCACTGTGCGAATGAACGGTGCTCACCCAGAACTCGTCCTTCTCTGGTTTCAATTACAGCAGACAACCATGGTCCAAATGCGTTACCTGGAAAGTTCTCTGCATTGGAATTGTGTAGCCTTTGATGTCTCAGTAAATCTATTGTACTCTTCCCTCGCCTCACTCGTCTTTGTCCCACACATCATGTTATTAGGGATGTGAGAGGGGTCTGTGTTGTCAGCCTCTGTGTTTAAGTAGGAAGTAGGAAGGCGGTGATGTCCTAACACTATGCAATATCGCAATCCTGTGTTTAGGGAGGAAGGCGATGGTGTCCTAATGTTACGTGACAAGACCCACGCTCTTCCCCTCAGTCCAGCTCACCCTTAGGCCTTGCGTCATCCGTGGCATTGCGTGTAGTATTGTGTGCAGTACGGTGGGATAGATAGGTGAGGAGGATGCCACATGCAAAGATATTTTATTGTAGCATTTTGTTAATTATTGCTATATTATTAAGCTCTTGCTAGGCTTGATTTTGTAAAATATACACCATGTGTATGTATGCCTAGGAAGAAAGACTACATCTTATGGTTGGATTCCATTGGCTACTGCTGTAGACATCCACTGAGGGTCTTGCAATGCAATCCTTTTTTTTTTTTTAAAGTTTTTCAGGGTTTCTCTGTGTAGCTTTGGAGCCAGGCCTGGAAATTGGTTTGTAGACCAGGCTGACCTTGAACTCAGAGAAACTACCTGCCTCTGACGAACCCGGAATTCTTCATTCCAACTAGTCTGGCAGGTTGCAGAGTTCCTATGAAACACAAGGCTCTGCCCACTCACTAGTCCTGGGGTTACAGATGCAGCCCTAGCTCTTACACAGGTGCTAAGATTCTGTAAGAATGGGTAAGTGGTTCGTTTCCACTTAAAACTGCCTCCAGTGGGTTTAGGTTCATCAGATCACGAGCAGGCAGGAGGCACCAGTCCCCTGCTGCAATCGGTGCCCGCTTGCCTAGGCACTTCTATCTGGGGTGGGAAATTATAGTCATGCTGCTACGTGACTGAGCCCATGAGCGATGGAGGGTGAAGGGGCTCTTGGGCTGTGGAAGACAGTACACCCCACGTACCCAGCCAGTGGGGGCGAGACAGAGACTGGTGGTTAGGGTTATAAAAGCAGCCTTTGTTTGGAGCCTAATTGGCATGCCCACCATTTTGTCTGAGCTAGTGCCTAACCCTGCAGGACCCTTAAATAAACTGTGTTGCTATTAGATCTCGGAGTCTCTAGTGTTCATTATTAAAAAGTGTGAGTGTCAGCAGAAAAAAAAAATGAAGACAGCTTGAATTTTGCAGGAAAATGGATGGAACTAGAAAACATTATTTTGAGTGAGGTAACCCAGACACAGAAAGACAACTATCACATGTACTCACTCATGGGTGGTTTTTAAACATAAAGCAAAGAAAGCCAGCCTACAAACCACAATCCCAGAGAACTTAGACAACAATGAGGACACTAAGAGAGACTTACATAGATCTAATCTACATGGGAAGTAGAAAGTAGAAAAAGACAAGATCTCCTGAGTAATTGGGAGTATGGGGACCTTGGGGAAGGATTGAAGGGGGAGGAGAGAGACAGGGAGGGGAGCAGAGAAAAATGTAGAGCTCAATAAATATCATGAGAACAAAAAAACCAAGAAACAAGAAACAAGCCAAACTAAGGCTGGGCATTCAAAAAAAAAAAAAAAAAAAAAAAACCTGGAAGAAATCTTTCTCACCATCCCAACAGAGGCAGCGGATCACTGAGTCAACCTGGTCTGCAGAGAAACTCTGTCTCAAAAAACGGAGTGGGGAAGAGGGAGCGAGCAAACAGCAAGCAATTGTAACTGTGGATATTAGGGCCTTCTGGGATACTGCAGGCCATCTACCTGAAATATTTATGTCAGTACCTCCTCTCGCTGCTTGGCTGCCCTTCCTTGCTTACAATACTGTCTTTTCAGTGGCTCTCAGTTCTAAGACAGAGAAATTAAGTGACTGTGAGTGCCATTGACCCATGAACATGGAGCAACAAAAGAGAATCTAAGTCTCCTGGCCCTGGAAAAAAAAAAAAAAAGAAAGAAAGTGTGTGTGTGTTCTAGTCCCCATATTACTTTTTTTTTTTTTTTTTTTTTTTGTCCCTAAATTGAGTCTTCTGCCCTCTGGGAACTGTGGAACCAGTAAGACCTGACATCAACTGAGCAGGAAAGGAAACTCAACCTTAACTAAGAAAGAGAATTCATTCGGACATGGACGTAAACTCCAAGAGTTAGGACATAAACGGGATGAAGCGGAAGGACAGAATGATAAAGGGGAAGGACAGAAAGATTACATCGCGCTGATGTAGTCTCTGAGAGTGGAGGTTCGCTGGGAATTCAGGTGGTGGAGATGGATCCCAGGGAGAGCCTTTCAAATGCCAGCCGTACCCTCTACCCTAGCCATCTTTCACAGTTTTCAGTTACTGCCATCAGGGCATTAGAAGGTGTGTCATCTAATGCCCAGTTAGAACTGCTAACCGTAGTCTTGCAGGATGTCAGTGCCCGGTTGACACGCCCATCATATCCGTGCCCCGCCCCCCTTAAGGAATGGGCTCTGCCTCTGGCGGTAGAGAAGGGCACCCGTCCGTCCGTCCGTTATTTTCTCCCTCGTTCCCACGCACCCCACCCCCACCTCTGCAGCTATCATGGCGGCCTCGCGGTTAAGTTTGTGTGCCCGCAGCCTTTTGGCTATTCGGGGGCTCCAGGCTACCCACGTTTGCTGGAAACCGAGCTCCTCCTCTAGGGCTGTGGTCGCCCGGTCCGCTGTGGCTCGAAAGAAGAAGCAGCAGAGAGAACCTACCCAGCAATGGATGGAGGACCCAGAGCCCGAGGACGAAAACGTCTACTCGAAGAACCCATACTTCCATGGTTATGACGAGGACCCCGTGGTGGACGAATGGAATATGCACGCCGTCTTCTTCTTTGGTTTTTCCATCGTCCTGGTCTTCGGCACCACTTTTGTGGCTTATGTGCCCAACAACGGGATGGTCGAGTGGGCCCACCGGGAAGCTGAGATGCTCGTGAAACATCGAGAAGCCAGCGGCCTCCCTCTCATGGAATCCAACCGGTTTGACCCCAGCAAGATCCAGCTACCAGGGGATGACTGATGGACTACCGAGTGGGATGTAAGAAGCACTGCGTTGCCCCCACCCCTGCCTGTTTTTCTCTCACCCCACAGAGCACAGAAAAAAAAAAAGTACGTTACTCCAGCTAAGACTTGTCAATTATTTGGCCAAGGGACCACAGCTCAGGAAGCCTGACTCACCTAAAACTAAGCTAAAGAGAAGGGAGGAGTAACTATCCCCTTAATGAGACCATGAACTTTCCTTCCCAGGAACCCTGGGGCCTCCACTTGGTGCTCTGCCCATGAGTCCTGGCTCCCAGAAGCAAGCTAGTTCTTTCTCCCTTTTCTTTCTTTTCAATACTTGCCAATACCTGGGCATTCTTTCTTGATGTTCTGGGCTCTCTTGTTCTTCCTTTGCATCTCCCCTGCCCTGCTTCTGTCACGGGGGCTGCTTGGTCAACCTCCGTGGCTAACCTTCACACCTAACCCAGAAGCGGCATGGCCTCTGTCTTCTCCGACTTGTGGCATCTGCCAGGATTTTCAGATTGCCTGCCCCACTGTTTGTCTTTTAAACTCTGATAAACTTGTTTTTAAGGTTCCCTTTGAGTCCATTTTTACATTATTTTTGTAAGGTTTACTTTATGTGTGTACACGTGTCTGTGCGGGGGTATATGAGTGTAGACATGGGGGAGCCGGGGGCCTCAGAGCCTCTGGGCTGGCGCTGGGAACTGAACTTTGGTTTTCCACAAGAGCTGTATGCAGCAGTTCCAGTCGCGGAACCGTCTCTCCAGCCCTGTTCTTTTTTTTTAATTACTGTTTTATTTTTTATTTATTTATTGGGCTGGAGAGGTGGCTCAGAGGTTAAGAGCACTGGCTGTTTTCCCCAGAGATCCTGAGTTCAATTCCTAGCAACCCCATGGTGACTCATGGGGTGTATTTATTTTTTTATTTTTATTTATTTTTTTCCAAGATAAGGTTTTTCTGTGTAGCTTTGGTGCCTGTTCTGGAACTCACTCTGTAGATCAGGCTGGCCTTGAACTCACAGAGATCCTCCTGCCTCTGCCTCCCTAGTGCTGGGATTAAAGCCGTGGGCCTTTGTGGCCTGGCAGGACCCATTTTCTTTTGGGCTTGAAATTTGAGGGCTAAAGTTATGTTTTAAGTTTTTTGGTTCTTGTATGTTTGTTTTTTGAGACAGCATTTCTCTGTGTAGCCCTGGCTATCCTGAAACTAGTCCTGTAGACCAGGCTGGCCTCAAATGCACAGAGATCTGCCTGCCTCTGCCTCCCTCCGTACTTGGATCAAAGGTGTGTGTTAGGCTAGAGGTTCTTGAACAAAAAGATCCAGGCCCACCCCCACTCTGGCCAGAAGTTGGGGCTTGCAGAAGTCAGCCAATGCAACAAAGAGATTCCTGTCAGAAGTTGTGCTTACAAAAGGCTGCGCAAGATACAAGACAAAGTGGGTACTTAGTTCCGGATTCCAAAGTGACCACTGGACTCAGGACACACCTACTGGACCCAAACCCAGGCAATACTCTGCTACCTTATCAAGCACACCAGTGCCTCACACCTTTCTCCTACAAAATGCCCCTGACCCCGTCAGCTGCCCAGTTTCACGGACCTCCTTCTGCAGGACTGTGAACTGTCCGGAAGTGACTCGTCCCTAAATAAACCCGCCTTTTACCTTTTAATTTGGCGCAACTGGATTCATTGCAGGGGCTAAGGAGAAGCCATTTAGCACGCACCACCACTGTCAGGCTATGTGTTAAGTTTAAATTGCTGGGTTTAAGAGATGTGTAAAACAGAAATGCCTCTAACCTGTAACCCCTACTTCCTCAAGGACAGATAACTAACTGCACAGGACGTGTTTGATCACACACAGGTGGGAGGTATGCAGGCAGGAAGCACTTCTGGAAGTACATCCCGATTGGACGAAAGCAGAAGTATGTAGCCTTGTGGGTTTTGCCATTATTATTATTTTTATTATTGTTATTTAGTTTTTCAATACAGGGTTTCTCTCTGGCTTTGGAACCTGTCCTGGAACTAGCTCTCATAGACCAGGCTGGCCTCGAACTCATAGAGAGCTACCTGCTTCTGCCTCCCGAGTGCTGGGATTAAAGACATGTGCCACCACCGCCCGGCTGTGGGTTTTGCATTTATAAGCCCCTGACTAATACCATTCGTGACCATTCTCTGGGGATCCTGGGTGTCCATTGTTCTGCCAGTATTTAATAAAGTTTGCTTCAAATTTGGCTCAAAAATTGTGGTAATGGCTGGGTAGTTGTGGTGCACACTTTTAATCCCAGCACTCAGGAGGCAGAGGCAGGTGGATCTTTATGAGTTCAAGGACAACCTGGTCGACAGAGTGAATTCCAGGACAGTCAGGGCTACATAGAGAAACCCTGTCTTGAAAAACCCCAAACAGGGCTGGAGAGGTGGCTCAGAGGTTAAGAGCACTGACTGCTCTTCCAGAGGTCCTGAGTTCAATTCCCAGCAACCACATGGTGGCTCACAGACATCTATAATGAGATCTGGCGCCCTCTTCTGGCGTGTAAACATACATGGAAGGAATGTTGTATACATAATAAATAAATCTTTAAAAAAAAAAAAGAAAAACCCCAAACAAAAACAAAAAAACAAAAAGAAAGAGGAAGGAAGGGAAAGAGGTTTTATGGACTTTCTTTTTAATGAAGTTGAAGGTTTAGGGGGTTATGGAGGAGGAGAGGTGAAGGGGGGGAGAGAGAGAGAGAGAGAGAGAGAGAGAGAGAGAGAGAGAGAGAGAGAGAGAGAGAGAGAGAAAGAGACAGTGAAGGGGGGAAGCACAGAAGTGGGGAGGTTTTATGGTCTTATTGCTCAGCGGGACCAACAGGATTTGCCCGGTTTTAAGTCTCCAATCCCTCCAAGCTGATGCTGGCTCTATTCTAGGTGTGAGAAGTGGTTTTTTTTTGTTTCTTTGTTTTTCTCGAAGAAGAAACAAGCATTCTATGTGTCTCTCCATTCTTGTAGACGTTTATGTAAATTTTTTTTTTTTTTTTTTTTTGGTTTTTCGAGACAGGGTTTCTCTGTAGCTTTTCCTGGAACTCCCTCTGTAGACCAGGCTGGTCTCAAACTCACAGAGATCAGCCTGCCTCTGCCTCCCGAGTGCTGGGATTAAAGGCGTGCGCCACCATCGCCCGGCTAATGTAAATATTTTAATCTCTGCACCTGATAAACTTTTGTTCTCTTTGGCCTACCCGGCCTTCTCCGTGCTAGCCGGCCTAGACACAGACCCCTTGGCCCTTCACTTCCGTTGCATGGATTATTTTGTTTTCTTTGTTTTTTTTTTTTGTTTTTTTGTTTTTTGTTTTTCGAGACAGGGTTTCTCTGTGCCTGTCCTAGAACTAGCTCTTGTAGACCAGGCTGGTCTCGAACTCACAGAGATCCGCCTGCCTCAGCCTCCCAAGTGCTGGGATTAAAGGCGTGCGCCACCACCGCCCGGGCGCATGGATTATTTTGAAGCTAGCCAATCAAGAAAGATTGTGAGGTCCTCACCACAGCCACTGGAGAAAAGACAGTCACCACTTCCTGTAGAGAGAAAATCACGGGAACCTGCTGCCTGGGCGGGGCGAACTTGCTGTTTAACTGGGAACTCTGCTTTGGCCCCATCTCTCCAGACCCTACTCTCTGAAAGCCTGCCCAATACTGGCTCCTCCCCAGAGCTACCCAAGACTGCTCTGCTCCTACAGACCAGGTCCCTAGACCCTGGGTGTGACTTCTCCTCCCTAACTCCCAGATGACCCCTGAGTTGCTTTGTTCAGATTAAACCTGGCCCTATTCATTTGGCTTGATTTGGCTTCTTCATCAGTGGAGAAACCTACCGGTGATTCAAAATCCCACTTGCTAGACAGATGTGGTTCTGGAGCACCCTTTAAACAAAAAGAAATTGGTTTCTCAAGCTATTTCACTTTATTCATGTGGTTATGGGTGTTTTTTTGAGACAGGATTTATTTTTTTTCCTTTTTTTGAAAATCTATTATTAATTTTTTATTTTATGTGTATCAGTCTGTGTGAAGGTGTCAGATCTTGCAGTTACAGACAGTTGTTAGCTGCCACGCGGGTGCTGGGAATTGAACCCAGGTCCTCTGGAAGGTCAGTCAGTACTCTTAACCACTGAGTCATCTCTCCAGCCCCGAGACAGGGTTTCTTTGTGTAGCTCTGGCTAGTGTAGAGCTTGCTCTGTAGACCAGGCTGACCCTGAACTCAGAGATCTGCCCACTGAGTGCTGCCAGCACCTCCTGGCAGATTTGTTTGTTTGTTTATTTATTTGTATTTGTTTTTTGTAGCAGGTACCACAATCTCTTTTCTCCATACTGTTAAGAGTGCTTTGCCTCTGGTTAGGTCATTGAATCAACAGGAGATGAAGGGATGCTCAAGATCATAGGGGTAAGGCTGTTAGTAAGCACGAGGCCAAGGGCTATTCCAGGACTCTGGACAGGTGTCCAAATAACCACCAGCCAGGATCCCACCTTGGAGAGAATAGCACTTTTTCAACAGGTAAGAAATCTGAGCAATCAGACAACTTAAAAAGAAACCTAGCCAAGCTTATAACCAGTGACAAAATAAGTCATGAAACTAAACACCTAGTTAGAATGTTCTATCAATTTGCGCGCAGAAAACAAGAGTGATCGTCATATGTAATTGTTTATTTATTTATTTTATGTGCTTAGATGTTTGTCTGCATGTATGTCCACATACTAGTGCATGGGATCCTATGGGACTACAGTTACAGACAGTTGTGTGCTGTCACGTGGATGCTGGGAATTGAACCCCTGACCTCTGGAAGAGCATCCGGTGCTCTTAACCACTGAGCCATCTCTCCATTCCCTTCTTTTTGTTTTTAGGCGGAATCTTGCTACATACCCTTGGCTGGCCTAAACCCCAGTCTCTGCCTTTGCGGCCATGAGATTATTGGTGTGTACCATCACGGCTAACAATAAGGTAGTTTTATTAATGTTTTTCCTATACCAGTCCCACCACAAGCCTTCAAGGGTGAAGCCACTGAAACCCAAAGGTGGAATGATTTGTGCTGAGGCACAGACCCATGTTGGAGCAGTCGCTGTGGCCTCCAGTGTGTCCCTTTAAGAGGAAAGTTTGTCCCTGGCAACTGGTGCTGAGAGAGGGCCCTGGGGAAGCCCTGGGGAAGGAAAGAAACAAGACTGGGGGAGGGTAAGCCTGGCCTGTG